CTTTCTTGGGCTCCATGATCACTGCAGATGGAGACAGAAGCCATGAAATTAAAAGATGCCTGCTTCTGGGGAGGAAAGCGATGACAAACCTCGACAGCATCTTAAAACGCAGAGACATCACCTTGCCAACAAAAGTCTGCATAGTCAAAGCTATGGGTTTTTTTGGTAGTGATGAATGGAAATGAGAGCTGGACAATAGAGAAGGCTGACCCCCGAAGAATTGATGCTTTTGAATTGTAGTGCTGGAGAGACTCTTGAGAGTCTCCTGGACTGCAAGGAGTACAAGCCTATCTATTCTAAAGGAAATCAACCTTGAGTGCTCACTGGAGGGATAGATCCTGAAGCTGAGGCTCCAATACTTTGGCCATCTCATGAGAAGAGAAGACTCCCTGGAAAAGACCTTGATGTTAGGAAAGTGTGAAAGCAAGAGGAGAAGGGGACGACAGAGGATGAGATGGCTGGACAGTGTCACCGAAGTGACCAATATGAATTTGACCCAACTCCGGGAGGCCGTGGAAGACAGGACGGCCTCGCATGCTCTGGTGCATGGGATTACAAAGAGTCGGACATGACTAAACGACTAAACAACAACAGGGTGATTATAACGTAGGTCCTTGTACTAACATGTTTTATGTATTTGTTGTTTATTTACATTTCAGACATTGTTCATATTTACAGTTTATCTTTAACATTTACCTAGAGATCTTTAGTCCAAGCTTCCGCCCTCCCATATATCCTTCTGTGTGTCACTTATCTCAACATCCTTGAGTGTTGTCCTAAAGATAACTATCTTTCAAAGGCTACTACCACATCCTTCTCATTAAAGAGAGAAAAGAACAAGGACAGCAATTTATGGGGATGCAAGTGTGGGAAGAGGATATTGCAACGTCTTTGGTGCTGTTGCTGTGATAACTTTGCAGTCCCTGCCTTGCAGTGGCCACAGTCTGTGCCCTGTTGCTGCCCTCAGCTGTTTTGCACGTTTTGAAGAGCTTTCCCCAGGTGAGTTCACGAATCTTCTAGTCATCACTTCTTGACGTTGCTTAATTCCAGGTGCTACCTAATGTCTCATGCAGGACCCAGTTAACTCTTCTTAACTGCATGTCTTGTTTAGCAGCCTAAGACTGGGCCTGAAGGCTTCCATAGTTTTTCTCCATCTCTCTTTGCAGTGTCAAAAAAAATTCTGGACCTGAAGAAAGACATACCTATCCTTAAACCTCCTGTGCAGTTTTGTTGTTGAGGATTTCAATGGCCACTGAATTTGTTTATTTATAGAATTTTTCTACATTGCTTTTTGTTTGGAAATGGCCCCAGGGGTTGGAAGGCACTGTAGAAACACATCACTTCTTCACTTGCTTCTTTACCTTTTGCACATTCCTCATATCTATTTCCCTCCCCACTCCCATAGGCATTAGAAGTCATTTTTTTTCCTGTGGATTCTTTTGCAATCAGCCCCACTGCCTTTTCCCATGTGATATTTTGTCTGACAATGGCTTCAGAGTCTCTAATAACATGTTTGATTAATTCATTGCTAATTGGAGTCAGTTACCATTACTGTTGATCTTTAACTTTCACTTTGTCTCACAAATCTTTTGCCCAGATTCCTTCACCCACTGCACCTTCCTTCACCCAGAGCCAGAGGTTGGGAGCAAACAAAACTAGTGGCAAAAACTGTGAGAACTCCTTCTAAGCAGAATAATTGGACTGGTTAGTAAAGTGTAATAGGTGAGCTCCTTGCAAATTTGCTTTTCTGCAATGAAGCACTGGATTGGCTGTATGGTGTGAGCACACATTTCAGAACTGGAAGTTAGTCTTCATGCGTTTTTGCAGTTGCTCTACATTTGCAGCAATCTGTGTTTGCCCATGGAAATATATTGCCTGGTAGAATTTTTGAGCAGTTCATCTTCTGGCTGTATTCATGTCTGCTAAGCCCCAGTTATACCACAGCAGTGAGTTCTTCTCAGGCACCTGTTAGCGCCCTAAAATGGCCCCAGCACTGCCTTCTGCCATATCAGAAAAGCATTTCATAAATGTCAGTTTGGACTTCAGAGAAAAGCTGTAAACTTCACTTTTCATAAGAAAATGCTTGACAACAAACTACACAGGAACATCTAGCTCAGTAGTTTAGGTATCTGGCTGTAGAGCCAGAGGTTGGGAGTTCAATTCCCCATTGTGCCTCCTTCACAGGGGCTGGATTGGATGATCCCTAGGGTCCCTTCCAGCTCTGCAGTTCTAAGATTATGCCCAGTATTATGCATCTCTCTGAAATACAGGTCCAATTAATTGTACAAGTAAACACATTCCATTTTAGAGAAGGACCCTGAGTAAGCTAGCTAGCACTGGTTTTGACTGACTCCATGTATCTTTCGCATACCCTTTTGATAGGGCGCGCGGGGGGGGGAGGGTAAATAAATAAGCAGAATTATTTCAGACAAAACATTGGCTCTGTGGGATGAAGATCTACAACTGGGACATGCAATACATGTTCATATCATTATTCATGTATTTATTGAAGAATATGTTACACATTTCTCATTTAAAAAGATCTTCTAGCAGCTTGCAATAAAACCCAATATAATAAACCTGAGAGTTGAAAACAACAGAACAAGAGGGTCCATTAGAAACAACGTATTACAATCCCAGAGCCAAAATCCTGCTGCAGAAAACCATGCACGTACTTGCACAAGTTGTTTTTCTTTTGCTTTCCCTTAACTGGCTGCCATACACTTGATTATGACATTAGTTCTCATGGGAGAACTGGGTGTGCAATGAGCAGCTTAAAAATGCCTCTCAACATCTGTGGAATTCATCTTCCATAGTCATAAGCCAGTGGATTTCTGGCTTGAGGGAAAGATTCTCACTTTTGCTGCTGAGGCCATCTTCATTTTGTTGGGGAGCTCATAACAACAGCTGTACTGTACTCTGCCTTTTCCCTTTCCCCCTTCCACTCCTCTCAGTAGAAGGAGGCACTTGGGGGAGGCTGCATTCCTGCAGCCTTCTCTAAGTGCCTATTTCTTCTGTCACATCTATATTTCATACGGATTCCAGATTCTACCCAAAGAAGAACTGGATCTGCTTCTGCAACACAAAACTCTTCCAGTGAAAATCATATATGGGCACTCACAGAAACAAAATCAATCAACTTAATATATCTGTCTATATATAACAAAATCTTGTTCTCCTGCCTGATATACCCCAAAGGGCCCAAAACCTAATAGAATATTTCCCTGTTGATCTATAATGTGTCTACGAATCCTAAATCTCACTCCTGTGTGCTGTTGGACCCAGCCCACACAATGGACCGCAGTAGAGTTTGCTGTTACAGTCTTTAGACCAATAACACAGGGGAAAAATCAGAGACCTTCACAGTTTCCAAAATTCCAAATACTCTGTAAAAACATTTGACATGAAAAGATAGCTTAAAATCTAGTATCTAGTTACCTTCTCGGGCTTTGTCTTGGTCATTTCGTTGGTTCATTGGGTCATTTTGTTTTAAGACAGCCCATGGGGCATAGGAAGAGGAGGAAAGCGGGACCCAAGCCATCCCACAGCCCCACTGCCTTTAGAAAGGCAGCGTGGCTGCAGGATGGCTTGGGTCCCCCTTTCCTCTTTCTATATCAAAGCAGCAAAGGCAGGGGGACCGGGGGATCACTTTGATTCCTCTTTGATTCCTTCTCTTCTCTTCTAATGCTGCACAGGCATAGGAAGAGGAGGAAAAGGGAACCAAGCCATCCCCCAGCCACCCAAAGGGAAAATCTCTCCCTGCTTATGCCTCCAAGGAACAGCTTATCAACAGGGGCATAAGCAGATAGGAAACAAAGGGATGAATACAACAGGATTATATTTGTTGCTCCATATTCATTGGGGTCTCTGGACCCCAAGAATGTAAAGCAACGAATATCTGATGAATCAGGGATATTCAACAAATATCCCGATTCATTTTTATATTCATCCCCATGTCTAGTTGAGAGTTCATAAAGTGATACAGAGAAAACTGCTGCAGTGCAGGCTTGCACCAGAGCAATGTTCAGTAGATTTATAAGCAGCTATACTCACTTTTCAATTGGAAAGAACGAATGTGAAAAAATACCTTCTGGTGTCTGTACCTGCTTCTAGATTTCATTAGTGCAGACAGATGTCATTTACAGGTTTTGCTCTCACCCCAGCCTCTCTTCCTTTGGAAAACTCATGGCAACCCCAATCAGGAGAACATGGCAAAGAGTTTAAAGTTTTGCCTTAGCCTCCAAATTTCTGAGATGTCAGTCCGATGGAGCATCTATGGGATGTGCTGGAATACCAGATCTGATCCATGGAGGACCCACCCCACAATGTACAGGTCTAAAAAGATCCATTGCTAATGTTTTGGTGCCAGATACCACAGGACACATTCAGAGGTCTTTTGGAGTCCATGTCTTGACACATCAGAGCTGCTTTCCCACCAGATTACTCATAAACATGTTCAAATCAACACATAAACTCAAGCATAGGTTGCAGAAAAAAATATATGACATGTCATAGGAACCCCCCCCCCCAAAATATGTCAATTTGAAACATGCTATATGAGTGTGAAAGAGTGTTACTAAATACCTTCTGAATTATCTTTTGGCTGGAACTGGGATGCAACTACACAATTATTTTGTGTTTAGATGCTGAGTGAAAAGTAACATTTTTTTAGCATTACAAACCCCCCCCCCAAACACAGAACTTGAGGAGATTCTCTGAGAAATATTTGCTTCTGCAAAAAGCCCCAGTCAACCTGTTTACCAGGTAAAGGCAGTCCCAGGAGCATGGCTTTTTCTTGGCAACATTAATTCTGTTGTTAATTTACTACCATCGGTAAAGACATCACCCTCAGGAATTGGTATTTGCTCCTGGAAGGATATTTACTACCAGGTTTACTTGCTATTGACAGTGCTCTTTATTTGTAGGGAGCTGCTCAGAGGAAGGGAAGAGTGGTAATTTTCTTTGGATTGCTGACAGTTGAGTGTCAGATTACATTTTCCTAGTAAATGTCAGTCCGTCTCTGTGTGTGTTTGTGTGTAGGCTTTAGAGCATTTAGCTGCAAGGACAAGGAAACATTAATCGGAATTTAACAATGAATTAATTACTGGGATTCCAAAAGCTTATACCATAATGGATTTGTCAGTGTACATCTTCAAGGTACCTCCCGACCCTTTGTTGTTGTTTTGCTGGAATAGACTCAACCAGCTACCCACTCTGCAACTTGTTGCTTTTGCTTTTAAAGGCATAAGACAAGTACTTGCCCTATAAGGTTAAAGGCAAAGAAGAAGAAGAAGAAGAAGAAGAAGAAGAAGAAGAAGAAGAAGAAGAAGAAAAGGAGGGGAACACACATCCAGTGCTCATCATTGCCAGCTTGTATTGTGTATTCTATCTCGCAAGCAAGCTGGGCTTGAGCTGGAAAGAAAAACAAGAGAGGTGGGACTAATAGCACATTGGAGCCAGAGATGATGGCACCACCACCATCACCACCACCTGGGAGTAGACTTTTCCCCCCTCTTTTGGAGAGAGGGTTAGAATGACCTAAACATCACACTGCGAAGCGCAGCCTGCAGGCAGCAGCTGTATGTGAGATACACTACTCCTGAAAACGCACTTCATTTTGTAAGGTAAGTGTTTGTTTTCTGTTTAAATGAAACTTGGCAAGTGGGTTGCTTTGGGGAGAGCTCTCCGAAAGAGGCTCAAGAGGGGAAGAGCAGAAATGCTAAGCTGCTTTTTTTTGGGGGGGGGAGGTATCATCCTTGCATTGTGGTATAGGAGAATCTGAACTTTAGAGATCATTTGTTTTTCTACTTGTGCCATGAATTCTGCATTTCTGGGAGGAAGATCGCTAGAAGATTAAAAGTGGGCATTTAGCATCTGTGAGCCATCAGCAAAAGTGTTTTTTTTTAAAAAAAGAAAGATCAGATGGGAATTATAGCAAGAAGTACGACTGTTGCAGTTTGTAACTAATGTAATTCACTGCCGTGAGCTATGACAGGAGCTTCTTGCTCAAATGGCTTCTTTCAGATTTCGGTAAGTATATGGAAGTTAGCCAAAGTGAGCCTTCATGTGCAGTGATGTTATATCTGAGAGCTCCAGAGGGCAACAGGGGAGGAAAGGTTTTGTCTTCAAGGTGCCACTTGTGGATCCTTTTTGCCAACAGAAAGGTGGACTACAATGGAGCAATGTATGATCCAGCTGCATAATTCTTCTGCTGATACTAAGAAAGGTAAATGAAATTGACCAGCAATTTGTTCTATTCTATGCACATGATCAGAGGGCCGGAATGTGAGTAAAAAAATATTTTGGACTAAAACATTCAAAATCAATGGCCACACTGGCCTGGATGTTCTGGGAACCTTTATCCAAAAAATCCAACTTTCTGAAGTCTGCACGTGATGAAGTGGTCTGTAGTCAATGGAAGCTCATGCTGAATAAAATGAGGTAGTCAGTGAAGTGTCACAAGATTGCTGGTTAAGACTTAGTCATCTTTACTAGCTTGGAACAAAATTCTTACTGCTGTCCATTTGCACAGCAAGGACACCTGAGGGCTGGTTCTGTATGTCTCATCCCCTGTATAAAATGTTCTAGTTTAGTTTCTGGCTGCAAGACAAGAAGAGGATGTTCCTCCCTTCATCATCAATATTATTAAAGTATTTTTGGCTGTTTCTGATGGCAGAGTGCAGAGTAAATACAACAGACAAAGGCACAGCTGGCGATCTTGTGAAAAGAAAAAAGCTTTAGGGTGTTCAAGCTTGGATGTACAGAAGAGGCTGGGTGGGGCAGGGGAAGATCAGCTGCCTTTCAGCTTCTCCACTTTTAAGTTCCTCAACAAAGGAACCAGAAGGACTTGTTTTTTAAAAAAATGCATTTAAGACCATTCAAGATGTCATGTGTTTTAGGAAAAGGGCTCCAGACTGCAAGATTGTCTGCTGACTCTCTATTTGCAGGTTTATATAAACGGGCTACAGACTCCTCCCTTTTGTTCTCTTCCAATATGGTCACTGCTTCAGAAACTCTTTCTGGAAGTCATTTGTGTTGTTTATTCCAATTGGACACTGAAACAAAATAAAAGTGGAGATAAAAGAAGATTGTTTGGAGGATTTAGGGCAAAGGTGGAAACAAAGAGGAGAGTAAAGCTCGGATATCAATAGCATATGTGGGAGTCGGAATAAGCAGCAAACAGACATGTCCCAAGGCTTTAGCAACTAGCATCTGGGATCCAAGGATTAAAGTTGCCAGAGTTATCAAGAAAAGTAGATGTGATGCTAATGGAAGGATGCATTCATCTTCTTATGCATGAGATAGCCTTTCCTCTGGCCTTCAGTCATCAGATTATTGAACTTCATATTTTCACGGATTTGAAAAAGAAAACTTTAATGTCACTTCAGCAGCCTTTCCCCAACAGATTTAAATCTGTTTTCTTATTATATGTGGGACCTATAACCCTATATAAATTCTTAGTCAGTGGCAATCACTACGTATTTCATTTCCAGGTACCTACTTATGATCATTTAGGTCTATACCTGTGCAAATAAAGAAATGCAGTAAGTATGTTCACCAATAAGAACAAATAAAAGGTATAGCAGTAAGGTACTAGTATCAGGAATAATCAAACATCATACTCTATTGAGCCAATGGTGAAGCTATTAAAAAAGTATGAACTCATTTCTCAGTAACCCCCCCCCCCCCCCCGATAATTTTAAGACAGTTTCAGAAACTTGTCCTGCTCTGTCAGCAGGGCTTATTTCTGAACAGGGTGTACTGACAGGGCTTGTAAATTAGGTTTTCAGGAAATGGTTAGTTTCATTTCCCTTTTCGTCTTTCCACTGTTTTGTTTACAAGGCAGGAAGTCAACAGGTGTCGTTCATCACCTTCCTTGCTATGTAAATATCTTACAACCTTCTGTCCTAGCATTTTTCCCCCAATTAAGCCAGTGCACTATAAACAGACATATGGGGTTGCCTTTAAGTCAGATTTGACTTAATGACACAAAATTATTGCATAAAATAGTGTGTCATGTACAGAAAGCTAATAAGAAAATTGCTGAACATACCTGATATATGTAACCACGCACAAACTTGCATCTATTTGTCTGAAGCTTTGTAGGCGTACTTTCCCCATAATTGACACCTATCCCAGAAAGCTGCACCCAGTTCTCACAACATTGCAGACATTGCTGATTTTTTTTAAACTGGTCAGGTTTTAGTTTCAGAATGCAGGGCTGGGCCGACAAGGCATGATTTGTGTTAGTACCTCTTCCCATGAGGTTTAAATTAATAGCTTTGAACTTCTGTTTGGAATTTCCTCAAACAGATGAAAGGCACCCTTCCTTGACAAGGCTGAATGAAGCACGTTAGTCGTTACCACCATTTTGGGGGAATGGTAAAAAAAAAAAGTAATCTTTCCTTTGGGAAACTGCTGGAAAAGGGTACATTTTTAGCATTATTTATTGAACTGTATTTCTGATAATGTTTATTGGCTCACTTTGAAATTAGGCACATTTGTAGAGCTCAAGAAATAGACTGCCATGGCCAGGTTTCAGGTTATTAGCTCAAAAAGGACTTTTTAAAATAGCTAATCTAATTTTGAGGCGTAAAAAGGGTAATCTGTGTTGTGTGACAGCAACTAAAGGCCACTCCTGTGCAGAAATAATATCAGTCAGCATTGCAGCATGAGTAATTCAATTGCTTTGTCCCAAAAGCTTCTCCAGAAGAGAAGATGTTTTTGGCTGTTGTGAGGAGGGGTACTGGAATTTTCCTAGAAAGAAAAATGAAGCATTTTTATTTATTTTTTTACAATTCAAAAGGCCCTCTTCCGGATAACCACACACCTGAACTGAGAAGGGAAAAACCAGTGGAAGGCCTCCAGTTGTGTCCTGAACATATATCCTAAGCACATGTTCTTGGAAGGTTTTTGTTATGTGCCATCAAGTCAGAACTGACTTATAACGATCCTAACAGGGCTGTCAAGGACACTGAGATATTTAACGAGTGGGTTCATTAGTTCCACATCCCTAGTGAGTTTTTGAACCTGGGTCTCCTGGGTCCTAGTCCGTTTCTCTGTCCAATACACCACACTGGGTACTCCTGAAAGGTATAGAAGTGTAATTTAGAAAGAAAGAAAAATGTCATGTACACAATAGCTAACATTTCCTGAAGAGTTTAGGGAGATCTGGGTTAAAATTCTGTATTTACTCACAAGTTTTGAGCAGAGCTGTAACTGGCAATTTTGGCACCTAAAGCAAGCAGCTCTGATTCCTGTTGACTCTGCCACGAGGCATGGACATGAATCCCCTATGAAAAAAAGGGGGGGAGAAGAAGATTTCATTGAGACAAAAACCCAGTTGTTTCACCCTACTTGCAGCCCTAGTTTTGAGTGTCATAGAATGACAGGTGAATGAGAAACACGTTGTTTGTTTGTTTATTTATTTATTTATTTATTGCATTTGTACCCCGCCCATCTAGTCAACTGACTACTCCGGGCGGCTCCTAGAATGTAATGTTGCTCCTATTATGCTGCAGGTCAACGTAAGCCTGCTACGCCAAGAATGACTTGGACTCAGAGAACTTATTAGCATAGAATCTCAGCAAACTTACAAGGCACAGCAGAACTGTGTTTGGATATGAAATCAAAGAGTATAATGCATGTACAGAGTTGTTGCTACACTTTTCAGGTAGGTAAGTGAAGGAGAAATGTTCAGCCCTCACGTAGCATAGCTCTGAAAGTCTGGGAGGATGGCTTCATCTACTGTTTTGAAGTATCAACTAGCTTTTTATACTAACTACAGGTATGCAGCAGTGCATGTTGGCCTGATAACTCAGTGGTTATGTATCTGGCTGAGGAGCCAGGGGTTTGGAATTTGAATCCCCTCGGTGCCTCCTGCGAGTACAGCCAGCCTGTGTAACCTTGGACACGCTGTGCAGTCCCAGGATATCCCCAGAAGAAGGGAATGGCAGACCACCTCTGAGTGCTCTCTATCCAGAAAGCCCTGAAAAAGGGTCACCATAAGTCTGAATTGACGTGATGGGCACACAATTATTATTATTATTATTATATATCGGTGTATAATTTAAATACCTTTGAAGTGCAGATCTTTTCATCTACACCTGAGGAGTTAGAATGGGATCACCTCTGACTAAGCGAAGGAACAAACTGCAGCTCTGGAGTGTGACCTTTTGTATGTTGATATATGGAAATGTGTATTTTAAAAAACACAAAGGGGAAAAAAAGGAGATGGAGATCCCAGGTTATTTGCATCTTAGATAAATACCAGTGCTGGTGTTTTTATCAACAAATAAAACATGGTTATAAAACAAATAAAGAAAATATTAGAAAAATTCCATGAGATATAGTAAAGTAGTACTTTTATTAGCACCTAATAAAATGATACAAAGTCATTGGAAAACTTGTTGAGTTCCCTAGAATTCTTTCAGTCTGTATCATGTAACAAAAAGAAGCAAGATGGAATGGGAGGCAAAAGACAAAAATATGTTGCTGAACATGAAATTGGTTAGGCATCCTTCAGTCTCGAGAGACTATGGTAACGTGCTCTGAACAGAGGTCTTGGAACAGTGTCTAGTGTGGCTGAGAAGGCCAATTCGAGAGCGACAATCCCTTCCACACT